TTCTACTAAAAATATACTCGTGCTTTCTACTAAAAATATAATCGCCCTTTTCTACTAAGAATATAATCGCCCTTTCTACTAAAAATATAATTAACTCTAGAATATAATTAAATGTGTAAGAAAACCGATTGTAAACTTCATTTCAAAATTTAAAAAAACATTTTAATTTAAAATAGTTTCCTCGAAAAAATATCCAAACTTTGATTCCTGTTTCATAAAATGGCATTAAATGATCTGAAAATTGCTTCATGCTTAAAATATGCTAAATTTTTAGATTAATCTGAGTTTTATCATGAGTATAAGCTAGGGAAAGGTATAAATCTTCTTCTTTCCCACAGCTATGGGTAAATAGCAGGACAGACTGGGTTCTATAGCCTTGCATGGCAACTGGTCTACCGTAGAAAGAAATGGCAACCTACCGCGAGAAAAGAAAATCTGCCTCGTCCGTCATGTATGGGAAGATACATGATCACCTAAGCGTGTATCATGCATGGCACATAACTGACTGATAAGCTTTATTTTAACCAAAAAAGAAGGAAGAAAAAATGTAAAACTTCGATAAATTATATTTTCTTTTCTAACACGTATACGCATCATCACACACGCACGCAAGCTTAAACATGAAATAACTAAAATAACAAATAACGAATATCTTTTTCGGACATTCCTCTTGTTTATAGTGAATTTCCTCATAGATTTTCATCGAATGAAAGAAAAATTAAAAGTAATATTGAAAAAAAATCAGTTTCAGCAATTCTTTTCTCAATCACGAAACACGTAACCCATTAGGGTCTAAGGGTCACTGCATGTACAGCAGCCGCTGTAGCAGGGATGACCCTGGGCAAGGTAGCCTGATGGAGCCTAACCTTCTCCAGGCTGGTTGTGAATTCAAAGTTTTTCCCTCTTCTAGACTGGTTGCCATCAAAGGTTACAGAAACCAGTCTGTCCTGCTATTTTACCCATAGATAGCGGGAGAAGAGATGAATTCATACCTTTCCTTTAAGAGTATTAACATGTAAGTGAATATAATGAACTCGAATGAAATTCGAACAGAATTTCACAATAGAGAATTAAAAACTGACTGGATGACACAATTTACATTATTTGGACTATTGTCCTCATCTTTCTCGTCATATTTATTACAACGTTTCGGCCGTTGTACCCTCCGGCCTTCCTCAGTGAGCGAAATAAAGGGTTCAGTTCGACATTCCAACCACCTGAAGAAAGCCGGAGCATACAACGGCCGAAACGTTGTAATAAGTATGGCGACAAAGATGAGGACAATAGTCTGAATAATGTAAATAGTGTACATAATACCTCATCTCAGACATATAGACAGATACTGACTGGATGACATTTTTTTTATATTCCGGAGGATCCAAGAAAGGTAATTCAAAGAAACGACTGACGACCTTTAGATCGTTGCCATGGGGTGAAATTAGAATCTAAGAATCAGGCAAGGGGATATTTGATCTGGTCTAGAAACGGTCAAAACGCTGTTTTTACAAGATAATCAACATGGAATGAAAGAATGAACTAATTACGTACATTAAAGAATCAGGCGGTCGAAATAAACTTCATTCGGCGCGAAAAAGAAAGTAATAACAGGTAAGCGAAATTTCTAAAACTTTCTCACATAATGTGTGACGTCATTATAAATGGCTGAATAGATTACGTCATTAACAGTTTATACCTTTCATGGTGATGAGGGGATTAACTGTTTCCATACGGGAAATATTTGGCATTCATTGACCAAACAGTTAACGTTACTCCCAGCTTAAATTTATAAAATAATTCCCTTAAAACAGTTTTTTGGGAAAACCCGAATTCTTTTTTATCAATTCATTTCAAAGAAGGCAATAATGCAAGATAAGATGCAAGGGACTGCTGGGAGTGAAAAAAAGAATGAGAACCCAATCCTAAACAGAAAACAAGGGATAAACCTCTACTCCTGTTCAAAATACCGGGAAGGAGTGTGAACCGGGCGATAAACGAATCTATTCTCGAGTCCTCTATCATCGTTCTTTCAAATATTGATAAGAGTTCTCTTTTTAACATTTTGTTTAAAGTGGTGTAGAAAGTCAATATCTTCATATAACATTATTTTTCCTTCTAGCTACACGTGTTACCTTTTTTAAGTGATGCTGCTGTTGGAAGTATTCAAGTGATGTGCTTTTTTATTATTTGGTACAGCTCTTTGCTTGTGATTCTGTGGCATCAGTCTATAAGATCTGAAGAATGATTCTTCTTAAAGACCTCGGGGATTCATTCGCTTGAAGCCAGTTTTATTAGAATGCAATATGAAGATTAAAAAAGGAGAAGAAAGTGCTTAGTGTAGTTGCCAAAAAAAGAAGCAACAACACCAAAAACAAAAAGAAAAAAACGACAACGTCAAAAAGGACTTTTCTGAAATATCAGGTCATCCCATAAGTTCTGTCCGAATTTTGAATAAAGAAAACAAGTGACCAAATGTTACATTTAATTACAGATTCAATCAACAATGTATTTTCCCTGATTATCTATGACTTCCTTCCATCTATTAACAAGCTTACTAATTCCATTACTGTAAAATTCTTTTGGCTTTGATTCGAAGAACTCACAAAAGTCAGATTTAACCCCTTCTTGTGTTACAAAAGCTGTTTCTTCCAAATGATTCTGTAAGCTACGAAACAAATGGTAGTCTGAAGGAGCAAGATCGGGAGAATAAGGTGGATGAAGAATTTTCTCCCAACCAAGTTCTTCGATCTTTTGTGGCGTGATTCTTGCTGTGTGGGGTAGCGCATTGTCCTGATGAAACATCGCCCCTTTTCGATTCACTAGAGCAGATCTTTTTTTTTCCCTCAAAGCTTGGTTCAAACGCTCTAATTGCTGACAGTATATTTGAGCATTAATTGTTGCATTAGGTGGTAAGAATTCAAAGTGGATTATTCCTTGGCGATCCCACCAGATTGAAAGAAGAACCTTTTGCCCATGAAGTTCCCTTCTCGGCTGTGGCTGGGGTCCTTTCCCTTTACCAAGCCACGGTCTACGACGCTTAACATTTCGATAAAAGATCTATTTTTCGTCGCCAGTCACAAGTCTATCCCAAAAAGGTGAAACAAGTTGGCAAGAATGGAGAGAAGAGCAGATATCAACTCAGGATTTGAGGTTGTTTTCAGACAATTCATGAGGCACCCATTTTCCAAGTTTAGGAACTTTTCCAAGTTGTTGAAGATGACGATGAACTGTTGTATGGTTTGAACTGAGAACCACTGCCAATTCTTCAACTGATAAAGCAAGATTTTCTTCAAGGGCTGCTTCAAGAAGCTTTTCATCAAACTCAACTGGACATCCGGTTCGATCTTCATCTTCAAGAGTGAAATCTCCACCTCTGAATTTTGCAAACCATTTTCTGCAAGTTCTTTCATTCACACATTCCTCTCCATAAACTGAGTGAATGTTTCTAGCCGCTTCGGCGGCTGAGTTTCCTTTCTTGAACTCATAAAGCATTATGTGCCTCAAATGATTCTTGGGTACTTCCATGTTAGCAGGGTTTTAATCAAACAAAATTTAATTTTATTGTTCTCTGAAATAAAATTTGATCAGTTTAAATGCATCTAAACATAAAAGTAATGTTCAGCTCCATTAGACATTATAAAATACTCTTTAAATTTCGTTCATTTTAACAAAAAGTTAAAATTCGGACAGAACTTATGGAATGACCTGATAGCAAACAACGAAAATAATAATATCAGACATCTTTTCCTGTATACTCCAAAAGGAAAATAACCAAATGGAAAATACCAGGGCAAGGTGGGATCTATGGAGTTGGTATTAAGAAATTTGCATGATACACTTGCCCAAAAATTTTAAAAATGCATGGAGGAGGGAGAAATCTCTGAACTGACGACCATCTAAAAAGCCATTGACAAAGAAAGAAACCGTGACATGTAATTACCGACCAATCACACGCTTACTCTTGATGCGAAAAATCCTACTTGGACAAACAATGGAGAAAATCTACCACATAAGCAGCAGAGAACTATAACAAGAAAAAATTAATGCGGAAGAGGAAGCAACGGATCATATTGCTTTCTATACAACAAATAAATGATTTTGAAGTTAAATGAAGACGAATAAATAATGCAATATAGTCGACAGGCTATAGAAAACATAATCCCCCAAACCTGGATCTTTGAATGTAAAAGTGTTCAAGATTATAAGAATCACTTTAAAAATTCACAGGTAACTATGAAGGTGGACTTGACTACCGAAAGAGAAATTATCATACAGGTAACTATTTAAAAAGGGTATCTTTTTCTCTCCATTGGTATATATCATAACCATATGATACCATTGAATAAGAAATTGAAAAATTATAAAAGGGGATACTAATGTATGAAAATGATAAAAATAAAATTAATAACCTGTGGTGCTACAGTAATTAAGGAGTAAGCAACAAGGAAGTTTTAAAGAAAATGACAACAAATAAAACACTTAGAATCAGGAAGAGACAGATGAAAATCCCTGGACTCATAATAACACTTGGAAAAATTAATCGTCGCAGCGCATATTGATGGCAAGAGAGCTGTTGTATGACGAGCTTGTGCGAATGGATCGTGGTATGTGGGAGGGAAAGCCTAAGCAAAGGGAGAAAAAATGTTGAGGGGCACAAGGGAGAGGAAATTTTGAAGAGCCATGACCTGAAGGGACGCAGCTCATAGAAGATACATAAATAATCTCAAATTGTTAGTTCTTGATTGATTTGATTTTTACGGCTTACCAACCTTTTGCAGGTTATTTAAAGCCAGAAAATATTTTTAAAGTGTAAGATGTTTTGGAGGATAATAATGATTTACTGATATGTCTTACTAATTAACCCATAGCTGGGGGTAGAAAAGGTGGATTCATACCTTTCCCAAGGGTATTTGTATATAAAGAAATATAACGAAACCGACTGGAATTGAAACATGGCTCTCTGATTTCTATTTCTGAGCCGTTACATCACCCGCACATCCAAGCTTACAACATCTGGTATTCCCAATTGGTCACCCGTCTAGGTACTAACCAGGTTTGCCGTTGCTTAACTTCGGTGATCGTACGAGAACCGATGTTTCAACGTGATATGGACGTAAGCCTTGTTAGTTCTTAGTGTGGAAGTGATCCATATACAAGTGTGGAAAACCCAGTGAGGTTCAAACTCAGTACATATGATTGATGATAATTCTCTTAGCTCTATAGTTTTTCCGTAGTTTACAAGTATAGCTGACGCAAAACAAAGGCAAAATATGACATGTCATCGAATTTTACCTGATACAGCACCTGTGTCACCGTAACTGTACCTTTTCCTTGTAATCGGTCTGACTAGCTTTGCTCTTCGGTACGACGACGCTACGAATTTAAGCGCTGTTCTAGATTGGCCGTCAGATCTCATCATTATATAGTTGTAATGCCTACATATAGCCATAAGCTCTATGCTAACAGTTTATTTTCTCGCACTTCTTGCTTGTGGGCCATTCTTCTTGCTTTCAGTCAACAATTTATATCCAGTATCGATCGTCATCTTCTGTCTCCTTAATTCCAGTTCTTTAATTGTTCTCTCACTTTAATAATGTTTTTTTTTTATCATATTTTCTCACACTCAGTAACCCTTTGCATCTTGGCACTTTGATGTGGTGCAGTTGTTAGCAATCTTGTCCCTCTAGAGTAATTAGGACTGAATAGCGAGTTCGATCCTCACTGGGTGCCGCATACTTTAGACTTTGTGCCACATCTCAGCTACGCCTAGAAAATCACCACAGGGCACTTTGACGCAGTGTAATAGCTAACAATCTTGCCTCGCTAGTACGGTTACGATTGAACGGTGAGTTCGATCCTCACTGGGTGACCCATACTTCTGACCTTGTACCATATCTAAGCAACATTTAGAAAATCACCACAGATAACTTTGACGTGGTGTAATGGTTAGCAAGCTTGTCTCGCTAGGTTAGTTATGACTGGATAGTGGGATCGAGCCTCATTGAATACCCCATACTTTTGGCCTTGTGCCAGATCTAAGCTACGCTTAGATAATCACCAATAACCCCCTTGCATCTTTGTGGTTTTATTGCTTTGCTTGGGAGGAAATGATGAAAAAAAATAAAATGACTGAAGGTCGCATTTTACGGTGGCTCATCCAAATATATAGCCCAGTACCTTCAGTTATTGCCGCAACATAAGACCGTGGGGTAGGGTCATAGATACGCTCGATGTTGTTCTGTCTGGGAGACGGACTTCACCGGGTCGCCTCGTCCCAAAATGGAAGAAAACTAAATGTCAGGTATCGTCCACCAATTTTATGCAAACGTCTCAATGCATCCTCTTGATTTCTACTTTGTTCTGATGCCTAAACTATTTCGATAAGGATACTATCGGCTATTGCTGCAGACATTAGGTCTGATCCAATTATAGATTTGAGTCAAGCACAGTGTCAATATACCCACTGTAGCATTTTCTTCTGCATTCTCTTCGCTTACGGCCACATCACATTGAAACACCGGTTCCCGTATGATCACCGAAGTTAAGCAACATCAAGCCTAGTCAGTACGGAGATGGGAATACCAGGTGCTGTAAGCTTGGATGTACTGGTGGCGTAATGGATAATGGCTTGGAGGGTCGTGTTTCAATTACCATTGGGAAATGGTATGAATCTACCACTTCTTACCCCAGCTATGGTTCCCAAACGGTGCGGCACGCCTCACAGGTGCGACGGAAGAGGATAGCAGGTGAGGCGGAATGATTGAAAGACAATCAAAGATTAAGAAACAATTTAAAAAAATTCATATGCCAAAAATATGATTTCAAAATTTAAAATAATATTATGGATTACTTGTAATTGCATGCATGACTCCCTGTATAAATAGTTATAAATAATTATTAACTGATTTTATCATTGTGATATTTTTGCATTATATCAAGTATTAAGAATATAGTAACTAGGGTCCGCAAATTGGAGGAGAGAGTTATCAATGATAATGTTCTGACTTTGAATCCACGGTTATCTCCCTTTGATCCTCTCTCTGTTTTTTTATTTTTTTTTTATTTTAAATGTACTTTTTATCACATAAAATTTGGTAGGGCACGAGCAAATTTTAATTAAATAAATGCGGCCCAGAGAGAAAAAAATTGGTGTTAATTGGTAAGTTTGGTATCACTAAACCGTTATAATCTAAAAAAAAAATATATATATATATAAATATTTTCTGGCTTTAAATAACCTGCAAAGGGTTGACAATCCGTAGAAAACGAATTTATTCTTTTCTATGCTATTTTAATATTAACTCTGTTGCGTTGAGGAAAGCAGAATTTCTACCAGATGTGAATATACCGAGATACCAGATTTCTACCAGATGTGAATATACCGAGATACCAGATTTCTACCAGATATGAATATACCGTGATAGCAATGCTGTGATCAGTATTTTTGCCATAACTTTGATAACTTTTTGTAAATAATTTTTAACCATAAATTCAAAAACTTTCAGATTCTTACATTGACGAGAACTAACGGCGTCAAAATTTTAAGTATTTGTTTAAAATAAATTTACACAGCACATTGAAATGTAAGAAACACGTTTTTTTATCTTACTGTTAAAAAAAAATTGGGCTAAGTTACTCGCTTAAGTTTAAACGTTCTTCTTTTTTTATGTGCCGTGTCCCTTCAGGTTGTTAGCGATCATAGTCCTTCACAATTTTCTGCCCTTTGTAGCTCATAAATTTTGTCTTTTTGTTATCTCCCCTAAACTCATTTACTCGAGCTTGCTAGGCAGTTTATACATTGTTTTTTTCTGGCTCTCTTTTATGCCCTGCGAGTATCGGATTTTCCAAGCCCTCTTTCCTTATTATATACTCTAGAAATTTCAACTGTTTCTTTCTGATATTAAGTATAAACGTCCTTCTTGTTTCCATTTTCTCTAAAACTTCGTCGTTACTCATATGTTCGGTCTAAGGTATTCTCAGCACCCTTCTGTAGAACCACATTTCTGTTGTTTCAAGTTTCTTTTTCATCTGTGAGGAGATTGTGTAACATTCACTGTGATAGAAAAAAGAAACACATCGCTTTTCACTTGCTTTCCTCAATTCAAACACCTGTACCCGCTAAAATTTAGTAATAGGCAATGTTGGGTTAAAAAAAATACTAATTGTATTTGTAAGATTTTTTTTAATCTGTAATGTACGTAACTTTTTGCTGATATAGATTTATCTCCCTTATTGGTGGCGGACTGTTAGAAAGTGTCTATGAAACCAGAAGTTAAAAAGACCGACGGACAGTGTACAGCAATAATTATTAAAAAAATATCTTTAAAAATTCACCTTGTAATAATAGTTTGGACTTAAAATATCAGTTTCATCCTTTTTGACAGCATGGCTAAACTTGTAAATAAATAAAATAATAAAATTCTAGTTTATTCACACAGCAAATAAAACCTGATTTAAATTAATATGATTGAATTAAACTTATTGCAACAAATTGTATATGGCAGATAAGATATTTAAAATGCGCAAAAGGTTTTAAAATCAGTGGAATCAAGTTGGTTGTTTATGTGAATAAACTCAACCTTTTAGAATTTACATAAGCTTTTTTAATTAGTGTAAGCAGTTTTGGTTATATAATGACTGTCTACTCTTTTCTACTCTTTTCCGTGCACACCCATCTCGCCGATCTCTGTTGCAGACGCCAACACCCACAAAGCCTACTTGTGATTGACACTGCAACTATGCTGAGCGGACTCAGTACGATGACTAAGTGCCAGCACAAACATCGAAGGTTTGGCTCGACGCGGGGGTATGGTTTTTTTCCAAGAAATCACCTACCTGCTTTGAATGAAATTGTAACCCTGGTCACACACCCTTATTTGGTGTCACACACACACACACACACACACACACACACACACACACACACACACACACACACACCCTTTATTTTTTAACGTTCTTTTTTTTTAATATAACTTTTTAATATAACTTGGAATGGCTTGATTTTTTTTTTGATTTTTTTTATATAACTTGATTTAACTTATCTTTAAAGTTAAAAACAGATAATTTATTTTATCTTAATTTTTTTATTCTTTAATATTTTTTAATTATATTCTTACTTTAAATTTAATATAATTTATCTAAATGGGAATTATTGTTAATCTTTTTAATATTTCTCGTTTTTAAGTATAAATTGTTATTTTTAAGTAGGAACCTAACTTTTATATATAATATTATATATAATTATTTTTTATATATATAAAACTCCCTTTTCGGCCCTCTTTTACTTTCATTTAACACTTCTTTTTTCATATAATCCCAATTTAATGTATAAAGGAAAAAACAATAGGAAAACTGTATGTAGTTTTAGCCAATTATTTAAATATTAAAACCTTTTGCGTATTTTAAATATTTTTAAATAAATATTATCTTTTTTCCTTCATACATATTGTCTTTTTCTAAATATTAATTCTGAGAATTGTTTTACATAAATTTATTGCTTAATGGGTTTGAAAAATGCTCTGTTTTTTTTATTATTATTTGAGGCCGGTAGATGGCAATAAAAAATATACTGTTTAATAAATAAATGAATAAAAACAGAGCATCTACTTAAATATGGGTATCCATTAAAAATGACGTTTAAGCAATAAATTTAAAATATGTCGGAGTAATAAATGAAAAATCTATTCCAAAAATGTAAACATGTGCACGCACGCGAACGCACACATGTACATACACACACATACACACACCATGAAAAAAGACTTGAACCAATGATAAGTGCATATAACAAAGAAAAATCGAGAAATATAAGCAATCAATTGCTGATAGCCCCTGACGAGTGAACGAACAGGGCCGTCTACGAAACTCTGAAGTCGGGATACTGAAGGTAATATCAATCAGCTAAATGAGATAACTTTTTTACTTATATATATATATATATATATATATATATATAATAATTATTTATTTGAAAATATGATTCCAACACGCTACATAAGAAGTCTCATGTTTCAAAACAAGAGCCTAAAACTTCAATATAATTATTTGAATTAAATTGAATTAAAGTAAGCTCTGTTCCATCTTCAAACGAAATTTTTTTTGGAATAACTTATTTCTGAAATTTACGTGTTTTAATAGCATATTCATAATTGAAATCAAAATTTCCATGGTAACAGCCAGGGCGGTTGTTTAAATAGGGAGGTGTGTTGGGTGTTAATAATATGTATCAGTATAGAGTTACATTCATAGATGTCAAGTCAGGGTAAGGTAAGGGTGTCTAAATTTAAAACGGAAGATGTTTTCGCCCAGTCTGGTTTACGTGTCTATGGAGATTTATTTATTTTTTTATTTTATTTCTTTATGAAAGGGTTTTGTGTATATAAAAACTGCCGTAACATTGGGTTTTTTGACGACTTTATAAAGGGCTATCTATTTTTGTAGGGTATTTATTAGGGCTATGGATTATAAAAATTATATTATTGTATGCTTGTTTTTAAGATAATTATTCAATGCAAAAATTTGATGATGTCGGAAAAAACCGTTAACTCATGTCTATTGTTTAATAGATTTTTATTATTTAGAAACTTAATAGTGTGCAGTTTCTCATGGAGGCATAAAGGGCATGGGTCATCCCAAGTTTTACAAGTTCTAGTCCTGTTTATAATTTTCCATTTTACTTTAGGTGTAATATTTAGAGAAGTCTGATTTCTTTTATTTATATTGTTGAAAGAGCACTTATGCTGCCTATATATTTTCACACACACATATATATATATATATATATATATATATGTGTGTGTGTGTGTGTGTGTGTGTGTGTGTGTGTGTGTGTATATATATATATATATATATATATTCGGTAAAGCGAATCGAGTTCTCTCAGTCACTGTCTGTTTACCTAAAAATAAATACGCTTAAATTCACCATCATCCCTGCCGTGTTTAGGGATAGAATCTCCGACTGACGCCAATTCAGCCGGGTTTCGATCCAAGCTAGAGGCAACCAGACGTCTACCTATGGATGATATTATATATATATATATATATATATATATATATATATATATATATATATATATATATATGCTTGATGAATTGGTAAAACAATAGAACTTAGGTCGCACTCTAAATGTAGGTATATGTATATTTATCAATATATATTTCTTGGCTCTGTCTAACCAAATTGAGCATTGTTATGTTTACACCTGAAAGTAAATTTAGTAAATATTTATTTGCTTACCTTATATATGCACTCTAACGCGTATATACGATTGCCAATATCTAGTTATCTGAATTACCCACCTCTATACACACACACACACACACACACATATATATATATATATATATATATATATATATATATATATTGTGTGTGTGAGAGTGTATTATAGATACGCTAAAATGGATTTTTTTCCCAGATGAATGCAAAAAAGTTATTTCTTTTTTTTTAAACTTACCAAAAGTCAGAGAATTATCCGATTTAAGTGTAATTGTCAGCACGTATTCATTAAATAATTAATTGTAGGATGGATAGTTTATTTTATTAGAAAATTTTGTTTGCATAAATGCAACCCATCCCCACCTATTTCGA